AACAAAAATTATTATTTTCATTATTTATTTATTTGTGCGAGTCTGCAGAAGGCTTTTACGTTTACATCGCGAAATTATTGCGCAAACTATAATACACTTTACTATTTTAAACAAAGCTTATTAACTAATCAACATTAAACAAATTTAAAAAAAATACAAACAACTAATTTCACAGAAAAAAATATACAACTACTGAGAGCCATGAAAGTTACAAAAAAACAAAAACAATTTGAATTACCTCTTATACTTAAGCTATTCTTTAAGATCTAGAAGGAGTGAAAGGTATTCAGGTATTCGCAGTTCATACTCTTACTTTTGGGCTGAAGTATTTTTTTAGCACATTTAATCATATTTTACTGTCGTCCGATTTGTGACCAAGGTTCAATTTTTATATTTTAACATGATTTGTGCATAAAATATAACTAATTGTTGATCCGGTGTCCGATCCAGAGCTGAGTTTCTATGATGGCATATTATGCTGCCATATTTTTGTGATACTTAAAGCGGTGGTAGCTTATTATTTATTCGTTCAATTAATCTTAGAATAAAGTTCAGAAAATCGTGGAAAAGTATGCAAATTGAAAAATGAAATGGTCATGGACAACTTTACCTAACCATCGCGTGTAGTAGGTACAGCAGCGAGAGAGTGGATTTCAAATTTGATCAGAGGCGATCCGAACGGCATTCAAACCCTTCTCACGCCCGTGATTTTCCGTAATATTTCAATAATTGCAAGGTTTCTGAATTTTTGGGTCAAGCACCCGTCTGCGAAGACGTTTCTCCATACTATTGACCCGGTCTAAGAGGCCCTAAACTAACCGGGCGTAGCTGTCATCGTAGTATTATAGTCGTAACACGCCTCCTAAAAGTCATTCTTTCTCGTTTACCATATAGGTATGCGCTTGTGCAACAGCGCGAAAAAAAAGACACAAACAAAAACCTTAAGTGCACTCATCAAGACCGATCCGCACGTGGGACGGGAGACGAGGGGACGCGTATTATCGACGAAGTAATCAATCTTACTACCTATTAGTATTTATTGAGCGTAACATTTTAATGAAATCGTCACGTACATAACGATGATGTGTCGGTGAACGTAATTGCCATTGCAAACGACGTCGTGTTGATGGACGACGACAGACGAGGATTTTCAACCCGATGATAAGACATTCGCGCCAGATATCGGGTCTGCGGGGGTTATTATTATACTCGTCCGCAATAAACAGACTCACTGGCGTGGACATAAACCGTCGGTGGATTTCGTTTAAGATCTATACTGTAAGTCCTTCCATAGAAATCACTCAAAACTTTAACACGACGTAACTGCAGTGTAAACGGTGTTTGCGGTTTTCGTATCAATCACACGGTGTGCCATTAAGTAGGTACACTGCACGGTATAATGTGCCACTGTTATGTAAGTTGTATGCAAGACGTCGTGAGTCCGATAAGCCACTTGGATTAGACTGATTATACGTTGAATATTATTATGTTTGAAAAATTTCTTGCTGCGCACTGTACATAATTACTATTGTCGTAGTACTGCGGGATGTTAAATAACAATAATTGTAACCAAAATATGAGGAAAATAGAGCTATAAATCCGTTTCTCTGCGTTTAAAAATACGACTTTGATGGACGAGAGAGTTGTGTTAGAAACTACTATGTTACAATTATTATTATTTGAATCGCGTTTTAATTCGTCGGTTCAGCATTAATTATAATTATGATGTAAAGCGATTCATTAAAAGAGATTAATCATTGTTATGCCGTGATACGCGTGAGTAATTATAGTACCTACGTGTAAGTACACGTAACTGAACAATTAGGTGGGTACCGATATTTCCAAATTGAAAAGTTTACGTGAAAGGATAAAATGTATTATATAACTTACGTGAACAGGTACTCTAGGCACTTAATAAAAAAAGAATATAAATCCTTGCTTATAAAAATAAACAGTAAAATGATAAATAATTCGTGTGAAAACTATTATGTTATAGGCAGAGAGGCTGGATTATACGGGTTAGTTGGTCGTTGAAATAAATTAGTATTTTTTTTAAATTTTGATAGGAATAACTTATTTCACATTAAATACCTAATATTTTATGATATAAATGGTTGTTATTAAATGTTTTGTAAAGTATGGGACAGTTTTTAATGAGTTGCATTTCATTGGATATTTTAAATAGGCAAAAAACATTCGATTCAAGTGCCAACATTTGATGTGAGGGGCCTGATGACTAGAACAATTTGAATCGTGTTAAAATTCGTTGGTTCAGCGTTTATAAACACGGCGTACACCGATTAATCAAAAGAGATTAATCATCGGTATGATGAGAAAAACGATAGGTTAATTATTGGACTTGTAAGTACACGTAACTGAACAACAATTAGGTACCTACCGACATGCCCAAATTGAAAAACATTTTAATGTGAAAGGATAAGTACCTAATAATATAAGTCATGACTTACGTGAATAGATTAATGGATGCTTAGTAAAACATTTAATATTTAAATCCGTGCTTATAAAATAAACAGTACCCACAAAGATGTTTGTTCGTAGACTTGCAACGTTCGGGGGTCCTAGCAAAATATAGTAAATTCTTAGGAAATTGTTGATATCAGTTTTGTAGTCATAGCATAATGTGCCGGCGCCAACTTGACGGACATGATGGATAATTCATGCAGAAACCATTATGGTAGATGCAATTTGAATGGTGTTTTAATTCGTTGATTCAGCATTCATAATTATAATTATAATTTCAACCTACAAAGATTAATCAAAAGAGATAAATCATTGTCATAATGAGAAAAGTGATACGTAAGTAATTATTGGACGCTCAAGAACATGCAACTGAATAATTAGGTAGGTGCCGACATTACCAAATTTAAAAATATAATTATTTTATTGTGAAAGTATAAGCTGGTGACGATGACTTAAGAACAAGTAGGTACCTAAAAATGCTTAATAAAACAAAATAAATATAAATCCACGTTTATAAAATAAACAGCAAAATGATTAATAATTTAAGACTATTTATAAATATAGAAATTTAAGTGTACTTAACGTATTAAGAAAATTAATTATTTGTTATGGTTCAATGCCGTTGTATTTAATTTTAAAGTATAATAAATGTTAAATTATTTATTAGCCACTTTATTATGAGGGCACTATAAGTTTAGTAATTATTATTTAGATGTGAATAACCAAATCTTAAGTATTTTATTTTTCTGTTGAATATTTTTTTACAACTCTCTGATAAGTTAAATTTAATTTTACTAGCATTTTTGATGAAAAACATTAATTATCCATATTTTTGCCAAAGGTACATATATTTTTAAAAGCCTTAAAAATAATTTCGACATTAATAAATTATTATGAGCATTTATTTTTTAAATAATTTCACAACATTATTCAAAACTAATAATAATGCATTTTAATATTGTAAATAATGCATCGTGAATAATAAATGGTTATTCATTTTCACAGCTTCTTGAAAATATTATTTACTGCAATTATTTTCCGGTATCTCTCTGCTTTGTGCAAATGAAAAACATAATAACAATTAATAAATGATTATACTTTGATTCACACAGTGAAAGAGAAGACGCTCTAATTAAAATATGTTTTATTATTTTCGAAAACTTCATAATACACTATGTAACTTCTATGCATTTCTGTTTTCTAATAAACTTGAAAGGCACAAAAAAAAAATGATATCATGACGTGTTTCCGCACACCATTGATACTTTGCGGGTAGTGTTCTCTGTTGCAGGAATATTATTACAGTCAAGTCCCTTCGACCTGGTTTCGACTACCTACGCCATATTATGGCGGAGCTTCTGATAACCCGAATCGTCAAATGCCTATAAAATGAGTGCTTTCCTTTCTGCGTGTCTAAATAATATTACGATGAGCTCTCGCTGTCGCGTCGGTAAAAATGGCAATAAAATATTTATACGTTTCCGATGAATGACTGTTATAATATTACTCTGAGACTTGGGCCACTAAGACAGAGTTGGTCGACTATGACTTCAATCGTACCACAATAACAACCCTGAACAAAATTCATCTACCCACGTGAACAGTGTTGGGATTAGTTAAGTACTATATTTGTATCTATATAAAAAATAAAGATAATACTACACAACATTATCTATATAAAGATAAAACTATAAAAGATAAATAATTTTTTACAAAGATAAAAAAACTTTTTTTAATATATTGAAATCTAACTTTTTAAGAGCGCCTACACCCTACACCTTTCTGCTACTTGAATATAATATATTGCTTAAACACAGATAAAAGGTTTCGATGAAATGTTGTAATAAACACCATTATTAGTGAAAAGAATAAACTAATAACACATTTAAAAAATTGAATATTTACTACTTTTAACGATATAATATTAAATAAAAAAAACACTGTTCTATGTTAAATATTATTCTTTTAATTTATGTATAAAAGGAATTACTTGCAATATAAAATAGTTTTATTTATTCAAATGAACTCATCGATATAGGTGCTTTGTTTATCTTGCATAATTAATTAGATAACTATGAGCAGCTATTTATCTAGATAAGATAAAAGATAACTAAATATTCATCTAGAAAAGTCTCAGAAATGCACGTGAAAGGCAATTAATTATTTTGATAACTTTTATATGTAAGTTTAAAGAATAATAAGGGTGGGCCGAACACAAAAATATGATCTCGAATCGAACTTTTTAACCGTAAGTTGAACAAAACACGAACAATTCAGTTTAACCACGTAATAATAACTAATCAAACTTTTTAGTCAAATGAAAATATAAAAATGTTCGAAACGTACATATAACGTATGTAAACGGATTGTTACAACTGTTTTGTTGGAATTCGGATTGATTGATGCATTTCGAACTTTTGGTATGATTTGGTATTTGGTCGTGTTTTCAAAACTAGGTTTGACTTTCAAACTCGAACATCCTTACTTTGAATATAATATTGTTATTTTGTGTCACTCACCTTTCGCCAGCAGTAAGACGAAGCACAGCGTAAACGTTTTCATCTCGGCGGATATCATTTCGACGAGTGTAGACGACCGAATTCCGTGTGTCTATGTGCTTATCTCTGAGTGTTTATCAACCCTTATCGGAAAGGTGAAAGGGGGTGAAGGACAATATTATGTACCCTTAGGCGGCGATCGCGTCTGCGTGAGTGTGTCTCGGATGGCGTTCAGTGTTGCAGTCTTCCCCTGCAAGAAGTCATCTCAACAAGCCAACTGGCGGCGGATAAAAAATCTGAAACGAAAAAACGAAAAACCATGAAATAATATAATAACAATCGCAATAAAACGTAAATCAACAGATAGAATATTATGTATCACGACAATTAAATCACACATCGAGGAGATGCTAAGAACCCTCAGCTCCACGAGTGTAATATAGTATAGCGCTGAAAGCCAACCACAATATCGTTTTGAATAATTACTAGTTATATTATAATATTATATTATTCGGTTTACGTCGGCAAATATTTATAAGGTGTAATAATAATAATACATATGATTATTAACAACAGTGTGATAATAATTGTATAATGTTATAACATGAAGTGATTTGCAGGATGTAACAAGAAGACCTGACTAATGAAATAACTGAATTAATAGTTCCAATCAATGTTAAGAAATTAATTGACTCGTGCGCAACACGCCAAATGTATACAATTTTTTTATTGTTATTTTTTATTTTCATACTTGAACAAGAATTTTAACTTATTTTAATTATTTTTTTAAACTTCAACAAACACAATTTGTAATCTTGGTTTCAGAAAACTTTTGATTATAAAAACATTTACCTACATCTAGTGGTTTGTTTTACATGACTTTTTAAAATGTCAAAAATCGTTAATTTTGAAAAGTAATGCGTTTTTAAAAAAATATTTTTATTTTAAAACCCATCTATTTAAAAATCCACGTAGAGTATTTAAAAAAAGTCTATACTTTTTGAACACAAATATTTTTACAACTGGATCAAATTGACTTGACACAAATAATGAGATTTCAAAAAATGTTAAATATTTAACGACCTACTTGAGAAAAATCTCAGTTTACGAATTGGCAATTTAAATTTTTCAAAAAAAAAGAGTATATCAGACATGAATTGTTTTATTTTAAGCATTAAAAAAATAAAAAATAAAAAATGTTATACTGTACAGTGTACCTACATATTGTAACAAAAGTGTCTGCAAATGACGAAAAAACAAAAAAAAATTTTAAATATTGTTTAAAACAAAAGTTACATAATTTGTCAGTATTCCAACTCTTTTAAACGTCTAAAAAGTCGACCTATAACTTCTTAGTCTGAATGTGTTTTCTAGGTTAAGTTGACATGTACGAAATAGTATCTCTAACACCGAACAATTTTTTTTCCTTTTTTTTTTATTATCATCAGTAAACGTCTAGAGTCAATGATAGTAATAATAATACGAGCCAGCCGTGCAATCAATTTCGCTCTGTGCCCATAATAATATTTTAACAGAACCCTTAACATTTATAGACGATTTACGCGGATAAACTTTATATTGTATATTATTATATAATATATATATATAACACTCTACGGCGGCGGCGTACCTATAGAGAGGCCATACGAAACGCGAGACAATATATAATGACATATTCAACATTTTCATATAAACGAGTTTTTCGAGCGAAAATCTAATAGGGTGTCGCTCTCCGGCCAGAGGCGTGTTGTAGTACGTATAATATGCAGACAGAGGGAGACATGGAGAGAGACAGAGAGAGAGGGAGAGAGAGAGAAAACGCATGTATATAGTAGTCGTCGGTATATAGCTGTGGGGGAGGAAAATATTTCCTGGAAAATTTAAAAAAAAAAATAAAAAATGCACTACACAATATATATAGGTACACATAATATCGCTTCGGTAATCTTTCCGCTCTTCGGTGTAAAGTAAAGCACTTTTTTTTTTTATGCATTATGTGTATCGCGCATGTAATACCATACTACCAAGACCACGGCGTATATACCATACTTGTTCTACCACCGCTGCAGCTACTATATATTATACCGCACTATGTGTACCACGCGATACGTGTTTGACGTAGGTACACGAGCGGAGCTTAGGCGAGCGTGTTGCCGTGTTCAATATATATATATATATAATATATAGTGTATACTCGTGTGTATATATATATATATACATGTACTTGTGTCCTATATATTATACTTATGTACATGGTGAAAATTATCGACGTCAGACCCGAAACGGACCGATCGAAAAACGGAACGACGGCCCTCGTGGCTGATGTACCGTGAACGCGTGCATACGTTTAACACCGTCGGATTTGATCCCCCCCCCCAACCACCCACCCGCCGCCGACCCATTCTGGTCGGCGTATTCGTATATATAAAATGTACACGCGAAAGTAGATCCTAACAAAGGCACTTTATTAGTTTCCGGGTGTGCGGGTTCTGCGGGTGTGTGCGAGTGAGCGAACGTATTTCTCTATGCACCGTGCCGATCGTATTTTCCCTAAAGACATATAAGCTGAGCGGGTGGGCGGCGAGCGCGGGTGGACCGTGGAAATACGACGTCGAGTCGATGGCGAAATTGGCATTTTTCGTTGTTTTTTTCGCCACCCCCTACCCCCGCGACCCCGTTTCTACCCCCAGACGCGCTCTTTTTTTTTTGTTTATTTTTTTGTTTCCCCCGAAGTACCTACACGTTCGCTCCCTTTCAATTTGCAGTAAATCCGACGGTCGACGGCCGACGGACGTTATTTACAAGCGACGCTTGAAAACGGCCATACCGGATATAACGACGCATGCGACCGTGCGAAGCCCTTTCGGACGGACGGACGCTTTAATCCTCGAAGCCGGAAAGTATTTATTTATTATTATTATTATAATGACGTGCTATACGCGAATTCCGGTTCTGCGCATTTAAAAGTTTTAATAATTCACACGATATAATACGTATTGTGTCATGTGTGTGTGTGTGTGTGTGTGTGTGTGTGTGTGTGTGCTGGAGCGATCCATAGCCAAGTCCATCGCGGTCCTGAAATTCGGTACCCATTGGTAATCCCATTCCCTCGGAAGATGTGTACTTCGCAACCGATTTTTTTTTTAATTTTGCATTTTAAAGAGGGCCAAAACTTTTTTGTGTTCATTTAAATGGTTGCCATTGGTTACACGAAATATAAAATAGTTGTTATGATTGGATGTACTATGGATGTATATAAACTATTGTCTAGAATATTAGAATATTCTAGAATATTTCTAAAACATTTAATAAATTTCTAGAATATTCTTATCGAGGAGCTTTTCAGCCATTTGTCGTTTGGTTAATATACTTAATGGGGGATAACCGGAGTTGTGGGCTGTTGAGAACTTTCAATTTTAATATCTGAAATGACGACTGTGAGATTGTGTGGTCTGTAATATGTGATAACAGATGTAAACAAACCCAACATAATATAGTGCCCTACTCAAATATAATACGTGATTGGCTGTGCAGGGAAGTGGGTCATGCAATAGTGACACCTGTATTTTATATTTGGTCAAAACTGCCCTGCAAACGAACGTGTTAAAAATCTGTGTGGTTCGAAAATTTGACGGAGTTTAAGGAGTTGTGAATCCTAGATTCATATAATATTACTTTTCGTCAGTTATTTCTTTTAAAATTATTCCAAACGTTTTGAGTAACCCTCTAGTGTTACTCATCAAGCCAGACGCAACACACACGTATAAATTATTAATTCACATCGAATAATGACAGGTTAGGTGTGGGCAGCAACCGGGAATATTCTAAATCGATAATGGTCACGCTTAGTCATTGCTTTGTTTATGGAACTCGAGTTTGAGTTTCTGTAGACGGGCTTGAAGTGGTGTGGATAAATGTGATAACTGCCCAAATATGATTTTTAATAAATCGTTCTCACTCCGCGGGTGACTGTGATGACAGACGCGGACTTGACGATTTCGATTTTCAGTCGATACTTCCATAAAAAGAAGTGGATAAGTATATTTTTTTGACAGACCGTCTGTCTGTTTGCGTCATCGGTGAACTCACAGTCATGTAAGATAGAAAAAAATCTATTATAATTGTTGATGTCCGATTGAAAAACACATGATTTTTTTGCGAACGAAAAAAAAATTACATTTGGTGGAGTTTGGTAAAGTTCAAATCAATAATAATGAATAGGTAACAATAACATAAGACAACTGTGTACTCAATTATCACGATCTCCAGGTGTATAATTGGGAAATATTTTGTTGTTTCAAACAGTTTGTTGGGTGGTTAAGTTGTATGAGGTAAATACCACCAAGTGTGATATTCTAAGACACAATGTTAATTATTGGTAGAAAGTGTAAACATCCGCTTAGAACGAAATCAAACGGTACAAACTAGAAAGTCTGTTTACTATATTATTATTTTTTATCACATGAGTTTAAATCAACCACTGTTTTCCTAAAAAAATATTTTCAACGAACTGGCACTACTAGTGAAATAGTCATAACTCATAATATTATACAGTCACGAGTCTGCAGATATCTGTAGAATTTTTTTCTTGCCTTGTGAAGTGTTCTCAAGTTGTGTTTGATATATATAACTAGAATTTACTTTTATTTTTCTAGAAATTCGAGTTCTCGAGACTGAGCAGTATTATATTGTATACGTACTCGGTCATCTGGATTTGTTTGAACACACTAACCATCTACGAGTGCATGTAGGAGCTTGTTCTTAAAAAAAAAACAGTCGTTTTAATAAAATGTCGATATCGATCCGCAATTGCCGGCATAGTTTAAGTTCTATTTCCAAATAACAATATGTACGTGCATAATATTATTCCTGTTGGAATGTTATTCGACAAAGGTATAAAAGAAATAAAAGAAAAAAGAAACAACAACCAAATCGATCTCTGCGTTTCAATTCGAATTCTATTGTTTGCGAAAGCTTTTATTAAAAGGTACAACGATGAAAAATGTATCCAATTGATGTCTCCGAGAAAAAAACAAAAAAAAAAAAACATTGTGACTGTTGAAAAAAACCTATCCACTGTTTACGGTCCCATTGTGAAAAATCCACAACACGTCGGCAGAAGAATGATTTCGACGAACGTTGATTTGTGAAGCTCGTCACGAAAATGTTAATATAAAATGTTAATAAAAAAACATTGCGGAGCTTAATTGATAATGAATATTGATGAAAATGTATTCTCGGAATCCGTCGCCCCCGTGATAGTGGCGTCTCCGGGGTCTTAGGGAAACTCTGTAAT